TGCAGAGGAATGAGTTCAATTCCTTGGATATCCTTGGTGTAACTTTCTGTCTCGCTTGACTCTGCTGCTAATGTTGGACAGTGGAGGTGTTGAAGGTCTCCCGATATTATTGATGGCGGAGGTCTGTAAAGTGTCTTGTAAGTCTCTAAACTTGCTTCGATGGCAATGCTGGGTGCTCCTGGTGTTGATAAAAAGGGCCCGGGGCCGGTAACAAACCTGCACGTTATGCACATGTACCCTAGAACTTAAAGTATAATTAAAAAAAAAATAAAATAAATTTTAAAAAAAGCTTCTGCATGAAAAAAAAAAAAGAAAGATGGGGTTAGCATTAGAGAGGTGAGAGGGAACAGAGGATAAGAGAATTACATTTTATTGTTAATATTTTATTCCTACTTTTAAAAGCCCAAGTAAAAATGAGCAATGTTAATTCCAAATGAAGAGTATTTGGTACTTCTAATATTGCTACATACTACACTCTGTAATTTTCAAAATATCATCTAAAAATTGTTTTACAAAGAATTTTTAATAACTAAATTTGCAAAAATAATGCAAGCTTGTTAACAGCTTAGAGGAAAGGCAAAGGAGATATAATAAGTGCTATTATTTTGCTTGGAGCCCTGGCGAATGGAAACGGGGCTTGCAGTTGATTATTTTCTTCTTCAAGTCTATTTTCTGAATTTTACACAGTGCATGCAATTCTTCTGCAATCACGGAAATGAAAAAAATAAGAAAAAGAAACAAAAAAATCTTCTCAAGAAGTTCAGGAATGACCAGTCAGGAAATATTACAAAGATTAGGTCAAATAGCAGACTGAGCACTAAGCACTAGCGCATTTCTCTTGTTCTACCAAAAATCCTCTCCAATGACAAGAAAGGCAGATTTTTGAATATAAAGAATAACTCTGTAAGGGCACTGGGAAAAGAAAATCTTGAAAGATGGAAAGCAGATGAGGCAAGGCCGCTGAGGGATTGAAGGTGGAGGTAGGGGTGAGGTGTCTGGGACGGCGTGTTGGGGGACGTAAAATGAAGGCGTTGAACCTAGGAGGAGAGGGAGAGTGGGTTTTGGGCCGGGTAGCTGTGGATTTGGGAGAAGGCGCGGTTGGGCGTGGGGGGCAGGAGCCCAGGAGCATCTCTAGGGCCCAGGGCAGTGGTGCAGGATTCACTGGGGTGGGGGCGCTGCGCGCCGTTTGGCAGGAAGGAGAGACCTGTGTCCTACCAGGAAGCTAGGAAAAAAGCAAGGAGATTGCCGTAGCAACAGCGGCTCCTGGAAGTCCAGTGTAGCAGAAGGGCCGCCACCGACAGGAAGGCAGAGGACTAACAAGCCTACTGCTGGGGAAGCTGCTGCCTTCCCTTTCGCCTGCCTCACAGTCCTTCTAGACATGTTCCACGCCTACAGATCCTACCCTCCCAGCTTTTGCAAGCGCTCATTCTGTTAGTTGCCTGCTGATCCTCCTTCGCCACAGGCAGCAGTGAGGGGTCCGATTTGGGCGCGGGAGGTCAGTGATCCCCGGCAGTGCGGGAGGTGGGCCCTGGGCTGCGGAACCGGAGGATTGGGATTGGTGGGGGCCAGATGTGAAAATTGGGGTGGGTGCCAGCCTGAGAAATGCAGAAGACTGGGAAGAGTGATTTGAGGGCTGGGGGCATGAGGACCTGAAGAGCACCAGGATGGTATACAAAGGTGGCCAGAAAAGGAACTAGGTTACTCGTTGAAGCCCAGAAGGAAAATGGAGTTTACCAGGAAGAGACAGGAAAGAGAGGTGAGCACCAGGCGGGAGGCTTAGTGATGGGAACGTACAAAGGATGAATACCACAAAGCCATGGGGAGGAGACACGGAGACTGCATGTACAGAAATGGAAAAATGAGGTGGGAGCTAAAAAATGGAGAATGTTGGGAGAGGCGACAGGATGGTGAGAGAGGATCAGGGAATATGCAAAGTAGCCCATTTCCTTTTACTGTGCTCTCAACTACCAAGACCACCACACCTACCTGTTCTCTAGCTCTCTTGTGCAGCTAAACAAGCCTGGAAGGAAGCCATTGCAGGCAGGCATCCAAGAGTATCTTGATATCTAACATTGCTACTGAACACACATGAATAACGTGGGTGGCAATGTACCTGGTGCACAGGGACTTCATGATACAAGAAAAAAACTCATACATTTAATGTTTCTCCCTGTTCTCTCTCCTTGCCCTCCAAATATGAAGACACTCCTTCACAAAAAGGCAGCTGCAAAGCTGCTAACCAGGGAAGCCACAGGTCACCACATTGGAACTACAAATATGAGGAAGAAAAAGACATCTCCAAAGAAGCCAAGAGGAAGGCCTTCTTCTCAGTCCTGCAGACACATGGTAGGCTGCAGAATTTCTCATGGATAGAAGGAGGGAGATGAGCCCATTGCCCAGTGGAAAGGAACAGTTCTGGATCAGGTGCCTATATATCCCTTTCTTTATCTGGTGAAATATTATGGAATTGACTGTGTTTATGGACTAGAACTTCACAGAGATGAAAGAATTTTAAAGCTTAAAATCCTTCCTCATAAGGTGCCATTCTCACAAGTCAGAGATTTCTGCCTCACAAATACCATAATTGGCAAAGCAGTGAAACACATGTTTGAGGGAGAGCATGGGTCTATGGATAAATGGAGGGGGATGGTCTTAGCCCAAGCACCTATCATGAAAGCCTGGTTTTATATTACTTGTGAGAAAGATCCTGTCTTGTACATGTGCTAGCTACTTGATGATTATAAGGCAGGTGACTTCCGCATCACTCCAGAATCAAGTGTGTCTCATGCAGTGAAGAAGGAGCCAGAAGGATTTATAGATAGCCTAATAGATAAACATGTGGAATATACCAAAGAAGATGGCTCCAAAAGGTCAGGCAAGGTCATCCACCAAGTTAAAGCCAAACCTATGTATTTCATCAAGTTTGATGATGACTTCCATATCTATGTCTACGATTTGGTGAAAACGTCTTGTTAGGGTAAAATTTGCTATGCTTGTGGAGGCAAATGTGTAACATGCAGGCACACAAAAAAAGTATAACTTTTCAGGGTGTTGAAAGCTCAAGGGTCCTGATAACACAATCTTTGCCTGCGTAGCTGTCATTTTATACTGAAAAATACAAATGTATATGACATGTGTAAGCACTTTGTCTTGTTGAAGATTGGGTGTGTTTGGTAGATGGGGCATGAAAGGAAGGAATAGCTGTCAATTCCGATTGTGAACAAAGTTCAGCTAGAATCACAATCAGCCATCTAAAAACTGCAAGAGACTTAACTGGTCTGGTGTGGAGGGGAGAAGGAAAGTAGGTCAAGATTGGCTGTGGGGAGAAGGAGAGGATGAGGTGACTTCTTAGGAAGAGGTGGTGAAGGGCCAAAAGGTAGAGGTTACCTGAGGGAGGAGATGACCTATGTGGAGGAAACATCCAACTGGGAAGGGAGTGAAGAATAACAGAGGAAGAATGAGATCTTGGGGCTTGGAGGAAAATAGACAGAATAAATGGAATCGAGTAGGAAGCTCTCTACTCAAAGAAGCTTAGAAGAGGTCAAGAGTAAGGAGTGAAAGATCAAGTTGAAAGGACTCTAGGGAGAGACTAAAGGATACACAAATGGAGGGTCTATGAGAGGCAGGAGTCAGGGTGGTATAAGGGGAAGAATACTAAGAAAGAAGGAATTCAAAGAACAAAGACTGACAAAGGGAGTGAGAATACAGAAGAAGAGGTGTGGACAATGGGGCCCATTAGAGATGAGAAGACCCAGGGAAAGATTGGACTTCTGGCAGTATGCACATTGTTCCCTTAGTTCTATGCACAAAGGAAGTGGCAACTGTCAAGGAAGCCATATGCATGAGAAGTTCCCTGGAAAGACATGTGGACAAGGATGACTCCATAGAGTTAAGCAGCAACCAAGTTTACACCTATAAGGCTTTCCTTCTTCCCTGGAGTTAATGACGCACCTGCCTAGTAGAACCCCAACCCACAGCCTAAACACACTAACATGATTCTCCACAAGTGCTGGGCTATGGGCTGCCTCCTCACATTTGCCCTCTGCTGAATAAACAACACTTGTAGATCATGGATTAGTGAGACTCTCAGAACTGAAGAGATGTTCCATCTTGCATTTGGAAAGAATTTGATCCAGAAAAATTAAACCTTACTGAACTCAGTTACAGCAGTCCTATCATGCTTGTTCCTCCTGTTGGAATGTTCCTTGTCTTCCTAGAGAGGAGGGGCATCAGATAATTGAGCCTAATGTTTTTCTCCAGCACAAGGGGAGTACTTGACTATCCATGCTTCTTTCGGCAGCTACCTGAAACTACAGGTGACTCCATTCAGTGCTCCACAAAAGGTGGCCTACTTCCCCAAGTAGCCCCAATTCTGGCTAGGCTTCTACAAGGCTGGTGTCTCTGGACTCCTCACAGGTACCTTCCAGCCAATTTTGCCCAGCCCCAACTTATGGAGAGCCGTGATAGAAGTCTGAGCAGCTCTTTGTTTCCAGGTAAGGCAGATGCCATGGAGAAGTTGAGCTGGGAGATGTGACTTTGTATAACTAAGTCCTTCAGCTGTATAGTGGAGGGGCTGAGTTTAGTGGGGAGAGGGAGCAGCAACTCCCTGCTGTCCAGGCTTCCCTAACTCCATGCATACTGGGGGAGGCAAGGAGCTTTCAAGAATTGAAAGAAGGCCGGGCGCGGTGGCTCAAGCCTGTAATCTCAGTACTTTGGGAGGCTGAGACGGGCGGATCACGAGGTCAGGAGATGGAGACCATCCTGGTTAACACGATGAAACCCCATCTCTACTAAAAAAAATACAAAAAACTAGCTAGGCAAGGTGGCAGGCACCTGTAGTCCCAGCTACTCAGGAGGCTGAGGCAGGAGAATGGCATAAACCCGGGAGGTGGAGCTTGCAGTGAGCTGAGATGCGGCCACTGCACTCCAGCCTGGGCAACAGAGCGAGACTCTGTCTCAAAAAAAAAAAAAAAATTGAAAGAAGGTGGTAAATCCAGTTTATTCTCTCTATCCAGCGTGACCTGAGGCTGCCTCAAGAAATACAAGGCAAACTCACTCCCTATAACAGGAATTAATTTTCTTTTATGAGTCCCCCAAACACCAGCAGGCTGCCCAGAGGCCAATTTCAGTCAGCTGCCGAGTTTGGTTTTATCTTTATTTTTTCATTGTTATCTATTTTAAATTAGGTACTCTAAAGCACCTAATCTGGGAGGTTACACACAATGAAAATCCATGTTTCTGGCCTCTCTTGAAAATGAAACAAAACAAAAAAAAAAATGAGGATTAAGACCCACATTCCAACAGAGATACAAGTAGCTGGGTCTGAGGTAGGGCTCAGTCCAGTTTAGACTAAGAATGCCCTCTCCAATTGACCACACACCCAGCTGGCCTGCTTCACTCTAATAAAATGCACAGTTGTCCCCTGGAAGCATTTATGCTTGTAACTGGGGCTGGACCCCAGGAAAACTGCCCCTTTTGACTTGCTTTGACCCCCATTCACTTTTTAGTTCCTTTATCTTTATCCCAATTTGGTGTGGGAGACAGAGAGTAGCCAAAATACATAAGTAGATATAAAGTATTTTCATAGTGAAAAGTGCTAAGAAGGAAAAAATAAAGCAATGAAATAGAATATGAAATTCCAGGGAGGAGGCTGAAATTAGATAGATAAAGTACCAGGGAAGGGCTCACTGAGAACTTGGCTTTTCAGTAAAGACCTGAAGGCAATGGGAGAGCTGACCCTATAGCTGTCTGGGAAAGGAATATTCCAGGTGGAGAGACAGCGGAGTACTGTGGCCCCAAGGCAAAAGGAGGCCTGACATCTTTGAGAAGCAGGGAGGATGGCAGCATGGCTGGAGCTGAGTGAGCAAGGCAGAGAATAGCAGGAGGTGATTTCAAAGAGGTAATGGGGCTGAGGGAGAGGAAGACACCTTAGAGCCCTGCAGGTTCTAGAATGCAATTTGGCTTTTACACTGAATGTTATGGAAAGCCATTCATATGTTGATAGCAGAGAAGCAATCTGATTTCTCTTATAGTTTAACAGGATCACCCTAGGAACTTTGTAGAATAGTCTGTATTGGGTCCTGAGATGGAAAAGGGGAGATTAAATATGCTAATGAACTGATGAGTGACCTAGACACAGATTTACACATAGGAAATGAATCATAATAGAAATGAGATTTCAGATGACTAATGAAAAAAAAATTTTGTTTAATAAATAGTACCATGTTAACAGGCTATCTGTATGTCTAAAAACAAACTTTTTACAACACTTTACACACAAAATAAATTCCAAGTGGAACAAAAAATTTAATACCTAAACGTGGAAAGTAACATGTATAAAATCTTTAAAATACCATGGAAGATAGTATTTATATTTTGAACCCTGTAAATGAGGAAGATTACAAAGCCACAGAATGCACAGGTACTTACTAAAGGAAATTTTGATAAGTTTGATTAAATTATAATATGCCATCTCCTACTTGCAAAAATTTCTCTATACAAAGTAGGGGAAAATAAGGAAATTTTGATAAGTTTGATTAAATTATAATATGCCATCTCCTAATTGCAAAAATTACCGTATACAAAGCAGGGAAAAATAAGACATGGCTACAAAATTGGATGACTAAAATGAACAAAATAAACCATAATATATTCTAAGAAAAAACAAATGACCCATGGAAACTGGGCAAAAAAATACAACCAGGTGATTTATAAAATAGGAGACCAGATTTTCAATAAAAATAAAATTTCTTAATTTGATCCTTATTACCATACTCTCTTTTCCATAACATGTGTCATCTTTTAATATACTGTGTAATTTACTTAGTTAATAAGTTTGTTGCACTTACACTTGCCAGAATGTAATCTCTGTAAGAGTATAATTTCTCCATCTTTAGGTTATTCAATGTATCACAAGTACTTAAATGTGTACCTGGCACATAGATGCTCAATGAGTATTTCTTTTTGTTTTTTTTTTTAATTACTTTTTATTATTATACTTTAAGTTCTAGGGTACATGTGCATAACGTGCAGGTTTGTTACATATGTATACCTGTGCCATGTTGCTGTGCTGCACCCATCAACTCGTCAGCACCCATCAACTCGTCATTTACATCAGGTATAACTTCCAATGCAATCCCTCCCCCGAGGAACACAACAAAATGGAAGAACAACCATAGCTCATGGATTGGAAGAATCATGGATAATGCGCCAACATCCACATAATTATAGATTCAAATGATCACCATCAGCTCCAATGATTTTCTATCACACAGAATTGGAAACATAGAGGCTCTAAAGTCATTAAACCAAAAAAGAGCCCACATCTCCAAAATCTAAGTCAAAGAATCAAACTGGAGGCTCACGCTACCTGACAATGAACTTCAAAACTAATACAACAAGGTCTAAAGTAAACCAAAACAGCATGGTACTGGTACCAAAAAGATAATAAAGACCAATGGAACAGAACAGAGTCCTTCAGAAATAATACCACACATCCTACAGCTCAAGCATCTGATCTTTTAACAAACCTGAGAGAAACAGAAATGGGAAAGATTCCTCTATTTAAGATAATGGTTCTGGGAAAATTTGGCTAGCCATGACAGTAGAAGCTGAAACTGGATCCTTTCCCTTACTACCTTAATACGAATTAAATTCAAGATGCGATTAAGAGACTTAATGAAATATAGACCCTTAATACCATAAAAATCTAGAGGAAAACCTAGGTAGTACCTATTCAGGACATATGGCAGTGGGCAAAGACTTCATGTCTAAAACACCAAAACACGAGCAACAAATAGCCCAAACAATTGAAATGGATCTCATTAAACTAAAAGAGCTTCTGCACAGCAAAAAGAATAACTACCATCAGAATTAACAGGCAACTATCAAAATGGGAAAAACTTTTTGCATTACTCATACTGACAAGGGCACCCACAGACCACTACAAAAGACCAAAGAAATTTACAAAAAACAAC